CAAACTCATGGAAACCGAACAAATCTCTACAGAATTAAAAACATGTCAAGAGAGAAATAAAACCAATGACTTTCTAGAGTTCAATGAAAATGAATGTACAACACACCCAAACTTATGGGGCACAATGAGAGTGCTATTAAAAATCTCCACCAGTTAACTGTCAGGGACTGGGTGCCAAAGTCTAAGTTGATAACTTTTAGAAATAATCGAGAGATTGTCAATTTCACCCAAAAGAGTGTTCTAAAATGTTGCGGGTATAACCGTTCTTGAAATTAACAGCAAACACTGATTGACATACAGATCTACAATTTGTAGGCTATGTGATAACGTTCATAAAACCATAACAAACTATTTTGCTTGTTGGGTATATTCTCTACAATCCTTTTACTCTCAACCTGGTAAGGAAATTTCTATGCACAGATAACAAGTCAACAATAACAAAGATCTACCACCTCAATTTAATACGATTGTTTTAAAGGGGAAATAGGTTAATCTTTACTGGGTCTTCTTCTGTTTTGAGAGCTTAAGGAAATCTCACTGAACACCCGAAACACCATTTTGAGTAGGAATACTGTTCCCACTAGAGGAGACCAAGCCCTTGGGGATTATTATACACATGCAGGGCCACTTAACTGTCGGGTAGTACTGGGATAGGCTCCTGTAAAGAGTGCCCAAAGCCCATGACTCCTGCAACAGTTCACAGACTTTCAGGTTCTCCCTAGTGTGCTGCTACATGGTTTCTTAACAAACTGCTCAGAATGTAGCTTATCTTCTACATTGCCAGTCTTCTGCCTCCTATTACACAACATCAAACTTTAAAAATGCCTTTCCAACAGGCTAAACAAAACACCGTGTTATTTTCTAGAATGCTTGCCATTCTACTAAGGTTAGTGATTGGCCAATACAAGTGCTCTAATCCGTACCGAAGGTTCTTCCACGCAACAGGGAGACAGGAGAGGTATTTTAAATACTTATCTGTGATCCTGTGATTATTTATTTTTCTAACGTGCATTTGTCTAGAAAGAATTTTGAGTGGCTGCTGAGAAAGAAGATTATAACAGGAAAAAATAATCGTGGAATGGAGTTGGGAGCGTAATAAATCTGTTTTAAAAATTTGAGTGAACAGAGCTTTATCTGGTAGGATCTGACAGGATCTTGGATTAATTTACTTGGTTGTGCATACGAATAGTGTCAGAGGCTAGGAAGGCTTGAAGTGACACTATGTAAGAGAGTTGTTTGGCTCACCCCAAAGGTAAACAGCAGAAAACGTGGCCCTGCAGTCCACAGCGGCCTAGTGGAACTAATAAGACTTTGCTGTTACAGACCTAGACTTTAATAAGTGTTGAACAATCAGCACACAGAAGGAAACCTACAGTTATTACTTTTTAAAGGCAGAGGCCTGCTTATTAGCATTCAAGGCTTTATTTACCCAATATTGCTAAGGGGTCCTACGCAAATAAACTTATTATCATAATTAGTTCACTTGAATAAAAGGACAAGTCTAAAAATTGTCCACCTAGAGATATTTCTCTTGGCTGTACTCAGGTACTGAAACATATTTTAATCTTTCCTTGATAAATCAGGGTCGTTACTACACCACATGAAGGTGAAAGTCACCTGGCTGGAATTCTGATAGTCCTGTTTGAGTCTTTTTGGATCTCAAGGAAATGAGAAAAGTGGGCATCATTAAATAAGGTGAGGAAGCCCTGTGTTTTTTGAAATACTCAAGAAAAATAAGTCTAGCAAAATAAGTACTTTGCTTTTAATGTACAAAAGCAATATGGGCCTTGGAAAGACTGCATATTTTAAAAAAATGCTAAGTAGCTTAGAGCTGTTTATGGCTGTGTATTTTGCTTTAAAATTTAACATTACATGCATGTATGTATGTGTGCGTGTGCTCACACACAGATGTGAAGGTCCAAAGACACTTGGAGAATTCTGTTCTTGCCTCTCATCATATGGGTCCTGGGGAACGAATTCAGGTGGTCAGGCTTGGCAGCAAATACCTTTCTCTGTTAAGCTACTTTGTTAGCCCTATACCTTACTTTTTAATAATAGGTAAATATTTCATGTATTATCATTAATATTTCATTACATACATTTTGTTTTCTCACCATAATGTATGCTTTAAGTTATACATTTTGAATTATTAAAATTACTTTTCATGTATCTTGATATAAAAGCCTTTTTTGGTTTTCCTTTGGGGGGGGCAATTTTTGAGGCAGGGTTTCACTGTGTTGTGTAGCCTTGGCTGTCCTGAATCTCTGTACATCAGGTTGACCTCGAACTCACACTGCCTGCCTCTGCCTCCTGAGTGCTAGTATTAAAGGTGTGCATCACCACCACCCAACTGGTTTTAGACAGACCCTGAACTACCCATCTCCTGTAATCAGGCAAGATTTCCAGTGTAGGAATTGGGATAGCAACCCAGCCACCAACCTTCGACCTACAATTTGTCCTGCCTACAAGATGTGCTAGGGTAAAAGTGGTGCAGAAACTGTGGGAGTGACCAATTAGTGACTGGTCCAGTTTGAGACCCATACCATCAGAGGGAGCTCAACCCTGATAGCCAGGACCTAGAGCCAGGATAGCCCAGAGTCCTAGGATAGAATCTAGCAAAACTGAGTGGTGGGGAAGTCAATGAAATGATTCCTAATGATATTCTGCCACACTCATAGATTGGTGCCTAGACCAATTGTCATCAGAGAGGCTTAACTCAGCAACTGATGGAAACAGATGCAGAGACCCACAGCCAAGCATCGGGCAGATCTTGGGGGGAATCCTGCAGAAGAGGATAAAGGAGATGGAGGGGTCAAGGACAACACAAGAAAAAACACAGAAATCAACTAACCTGTGTTCACAGAGACTGAACCCAAAACCAGGAAGCCTGCATGTTACAGTTGTGTAGCTTGGTCTTCTTGTGGGATTTTTAACAGTGGGAGCGGGGGTTGTCTCTGAGTCTGTTGTCTGATTTTAGGACCCTTTCCTCCTGCTGGATTGCCTTGCCCATCGTTTGTAGGAAAGAAGGTCCTAGTCTTACTGCAACTTGATATAGCATGGCTGGTTGATATCTATGGAGGCCTTTCCTTTTCTAAAGGGAAATGGAGGAGGAGTAGCTTGGGGTGTGAGGTTGGAGGGGAGGGGCTGGGTGGAGAGGAGTAAGGAAAAATGTGGCTGAATATAAAAGAGATTAAATAAATAAAAATAGAAAAAGAGTATTCAAGCACACATGAATCAGGAGATTCAGACTGGTGTTTAATACAAAATGTGTTAAAAGAATATGATTTGGGGCTTGAGGAGATGTCTTTGCAGGTAACTTGTTTGCTTCCCAAGTATGACAACTTGAGTTTGGATCTCAACATAAAAGTCAGCCAGGTGTGGTGGCCCACTTATAACCCACTTATAGCCTGACTGCGCCAGGCTAGTTGAATCAAAGGAGCCAGGTTCAGTGAGAAACCCTGCCTCAGTATGTACAGTAAGCAGAGATTGAGGAAGACACTTGACATCAACCTGGGACCTCCAGGATCGCCCCAGGCATACACATACTTCTGCATATGCACCCATTGTACCTCCATGCATGCAAACTCACATGTACACCATACAGACTTAGATACGCAACAATGCATGCCTTTATCTTGTGAGAGCATACAGTGGCATCTAGATGCACACTGCGGCAAGAACAATGTTTGGGAAGGGTGGTAATCTTTCTTTAAGTATATATTTTTATAAAATGACACCTGAACAGTCTTAGTTCATTCACACAGAAATTGTAAAGCAGTCTGGTGACTCTATTTTGTATTTAGAGCAGCTCCATATATAAGAGCCCATTTTTGCTGTTTCTAATTATTTCTTGAACAAACTGTCAAAAATATTTAGGTTTATCAACCTAACAAATGCTTGGCTGGCAGGCCTAAGAGAATACCAAGAATAAGATGTTTTGTGAATAGCAGTATGGAATTCATTTTCTTATCAAAAGTAGAAACATCAGGCCCAAAGTGTATTGTGACAAGTATACATTAGGCATTATAAGCATGAGCTTGAGGAGCTCTTGGCCCCTTGACGTAAGACAGTCCTTTTATTGTACAGGCAAAATGCTCTTGGTTTCCTGCCATTAAATCTAAGTGCCAGCTTAAGTCTGAGCAGAGTTGAAACAGCTTTGCACAATACCCTCTTTAAGAGAACAACGTATGCCTGTAAGAGTGCTTTTATTAGCTAAGAAGATGAGAAATTCTGTTTCTTCATATGAGGGAATTGGGCATGATTTTCTCCTTCTGGTCCAGTAAAAATGTTTCTATTTACTTTAAACATTCTGCACGCTTCCTGCAGCCAATTTTAGCAATTGTAAGAGAGGGCAGACACTCCTACTGATTTCTTTTAAGTTAGAAGGTAGTTCATGGATACATTTTCATTTAATTTATATGGTCAGGTTATGTTAAGTAGACACAGTCTATTGATGTAAACATATCCACATGCTAGAAATACCCAGAACTTTCTCTGAAAAGAATTCAGATGTTACTGGCTGGTTTCTGTAATGGTTTCAGCTTTACCCAGATTTAGCAAGGCCCCACCTCTCTCTGGATGTGACATGTAAGCATGGGAGGGAAACTGGCTGTTGGCATATCTTGCTACATGGGAGTACCCCTTCCTCTGCCATATTTTCCCCAGTCATTGCCACTTGACTCCCTCTACTGAATAAAAAACTACATAGACACAGAGAAGAAAGACGGAATGAACAGGATTGTAGAAATCTGGTTGAGGGTTAGAGGCACCCTGAGCCTAGTGGGTCTGTAAGGTTTTCATGACTCACCCCTTGTCAACATGACACCTTGGTGACTATAACCATCCCCTCTTCATTTTATGCTCCAGAAGCTTGTGAGACCTCAATGAGTCATGAAGAATCTTAAAATCAAATCCAAAGAATCCAAAGTGATGATAACAAAACAGAATAATTGATATTTGAACAAAGGTTAGTATTTGACAATGGATAAAGATTGGTATACCTTCCCTTCCTCGGGGCTTTGTTGACATGAGTTGTGAACGTCGTCTTCTCTTATGAATTTTCCAGGCCAGGAAGTCAGTCCTTTGATTTGGCCCCAGACCAAGTCACCAACATTGAACGTCCTTGGTCTATAGTGTATCAATTCATGTGAAGAGGGGGAGTCTGGATTCCTTAGGTCATCTTCACTACTAATGCTTTTAGCATCTGAGGGACTAGGCACACACCCATTCATGCTTTTGGCATTAAAGTCTCCATTGTAATGGATGTAGTCTTTGACCAGAGAACTTTCCAAACTATTCGAAGAACCTGGAGACTGCCCCTCTAGGACTAGGTCTTGTTTAGCAGTGCCTAGCAGCTCTCCAAAGCCCCGACTCTGACGAGGTCTGTTTCCATTAATGTGCGTACATCTCTCCACAGTGTTCTCCAGTCTCTCCTTAAAGCCCATCATAGTTCTTTTGTAGCTGTTATACCTGAAATTTTCCTCCAGAATTTTATCCCCTTGACAGTTTCTTGGTGGTAACAGTATTGGGTGCTGTTCCCCAGCTAGAAATGGCAGTGCAGAGACATTGTTGGGCCTTTCATGACAAGGGCTACTGTGGATATGGCCTGGATGATCTAAAAATTCCTCATATTTCCACCTGGTATGCTCCCCTCTGGGACTTTGCTCCCCATCCCATTGTTTTCTGGATGTGTGGCAACTTGCTGACTTGAAATACTCAAACCCATCTCCTTCGCTGGAGTTTTTCCCATGGTCTATACTCTTGGGTAGCCGTGCCGCTCTTGCGTTTCTCAGCCTGCCGTCATGATCCACTCCTCCCATGCTCCGCCCGTGAATGACCGCACTCACAGCACTGGACAGGTTTAAAGGGTCACCAATAGAGGCGGTGAAGGCACTCATGGCACTCAGAGCCGGAACAGGGCTGATCTGAGTTGTACTGTTGACAGCGGTGGTGATGACAACCTGCATCCCTTTGCTGGCCGCATCCACAACTGCTTTGTAAATGGCATCTACCGAGGCATCACCTGGGCCACCCATAACGAGGCTGTCCTTCCCCGGCTGACCAAGAGATGGGTCAATCCTGGGCTGCAGTTCACAAGGTGCATCCTGGAAATGTGGAAGTACAGTGTTTGGGTTCTCAGGAAGTGCTGTGAGTCCCGGCTGAGTGCTTATTCTTTTATTTAGAAGAGCTGCATCTCCTTGCATCCTCACCTTAAATAAGTAGGAGAGGGAAAGAGAGAGAGAGGAGAAAAATTTAAAGACCTTAAAGAAGAAGGTCATAATTCCAAGACAAACCAAGGAAGCACAAAGAATAAGAATAAAAATGAATGTGAAAGGGGCTGGAGAGATGGCTCAGCGGTTAAGAGCATTGCCTGCTCTTCCAGAGGTCCTGAGTTCAATTCCCAGCAACCGCATGGTGGCTCACAACCATCTGTAATGAGGTCTGGTGCCCTCTTCTGGCCTGAAGGCATACAGACAGACATAACATTGTATGCATAATAAATAAATAACTAAATAAATATTTTAAAAAAATGAACATGAAAATTATCCTATATAGAAAACCTTACACATTGATTATACATTTTTATTTTTTTAATTTATTTTTATTTTTGTTTTTTTGAGATAGGGTTTCTCTGTAGCTTTGGAGCCTGGCCTGGAACTAGCTCTTGTAGACCAGGCTGGCCTCGAATTTACAGAGATCCTCCTGCCTCTGCCTCCCAAGTGCGGGGATTAAAGGCGTGCGCCACCACCGCCCGGCTGATTATATTTTTAGATTTGGGTCATTTCTTTAGCTGAAATAATACAACAGATCTCTTTTAAATGTCATTGCCAAACATTTTCTAGAAAAATGAAACTTGAGGTGGTGGACAAAAGGTGTTTCCACTGATGACACTGCTTGCGGAATGGTCTTATTATTTATAGTCTGTGATGGTGGATGCCTGTAAGCCCAGCATGAGGGAGTCTGAGCAGGAGGGTGCAAATTCAAGACTAGCTAGCTGTGCTACATAGTGAGCCCTAGCCTTTTTTTTTTAATCGTGTATATTTTATGCTCACATTTATAGAATATTACTTTTTCTATATAATCTGTAATATATTTCGCATCTTGGTAGAAGCTGACCTCATGGCTGACCCAGAAGGATGGAGTGTGGTGAGACCACACTAACGTCGAAGGAAATGGGCACTAATCGTGACAGCAATGTGGGCACACGGCACAAAAGGGCACAGGAGGGCACAACTACCTGGGTTGACTCAAAATTCCAAAAACAGTCCTGCTTTATACAAAAAAAAAATTATAGGCCTGGAGAGATGGCTCAGAGGTTAAGAGCATTGCCTGCTCTTCCAGAGGTCCTGAGTTCAATTCCCAGCAACCGCATGGTGGCTCACAACCATCTGTAATGAGGTCTGGTGCCCTCTTCTGGCCTGCAGGCATACAGACAGACATAACATTGTATGCATAATAAATAAATAACTAAATAAATATTTAAAAATAATGAACGTGAAAATTATCCTATATAGAAAACCTTACACATTGATTATACATTTTTATTTTTTTAATTTATTTTTATTTTTGTTTTTTTGAGATAGGGTTTGAGATAGGGAGCCTGGCCTGGAACTAGCTCTTGTAGACCAGGCTGGCCTCGAATTTACAGAGATCCTCCTGCCTCTGCCTCCCAAGTGCGGGGATTAAAGGCGTGCGCCACCACCGCCCGGCTGATTATATTTTTAGATTTGGGTCATTTCTTTAGTTGAAATAATACAACAGATCTCTTTTAAACGTCATTGCCAAACATTTTCTAGAAAAATGAAACTTGAGGTGGTGGACAAAAGGTGTTTCCACTGATGACACTGCTTGCGGAATGGTCTTATTATTTATAGTCTGTGATGGTGGATGCCTGTAAGCCCAGCATGAGGGAGTCTGAGCAGGAGGGTGCAAATTCAAGACTAGCTAGCTGTGCTACATAGTGAGCCCTAGCCTTTTTTTTTTAATCGTGTATATTTTATGCTCACATTTATAGAATATTACTTTTTCTATATAATCTGTAATATATTTCGCATCTTGGTAGAAGCTGACCTCATGGCTGACCCAGAAGGATGGAGTGTGGTGAGACTACACTAATGTCGAAGGAAATGGGCACTAATCATGACAGCAATGTGGGCACACGGCACAAAAGGGCACAGGAGGGCACAACTACCTGGGTTGACTCAAAATTCCAAAAACAGTCCTGCTTTATACAAAAAAAAAATTTATAGGCCTGGAGAGATGGCTCAGAGGTTAAGAGCATTGCCTGCTCTTCCAAAGGTCCTGAGTTCAATTCCCAGCAACCACATGGTGGCTCACAACCATCTGTAATGGGGTCTGGTACCTTCTTCTGGCCTGCAGGCATACAACAGATAGAATATTGTATACATAATAAATAAATAAATATTTTAAAAAAAGAATAAAATTATATTCCCACAAGATTGGAAAGCTTAGCAATACTCCATATTACTAAATAGCCACCAATAGACTCGGAAGGGCCTCGAACCCATTCTTTCACTCCTAGTTATTTCAATAAAACCAGACATTGTTTTCAGCTGAAGTCACACATGGAAGGAAAAGTACCTGGAAGTTCTGAAACAGACAAGCCATGGGGTTACTGTTAGCTGGACAAGGGACTGTGGGCTGTCCTTGGAAGGCCTGGAGGTTCTGGTGTCCCTGGAGGAGGTGCTGCTGCTGGGGCTGACTTGGAGGGAACATCTGGCTGCTGTTGAGCAGTGACTGCAGGTGACTCAGTTGGTGGTTATTCAGAGAGCTGCTTATTGACGACAGGTCACCTACAGGTTCAGGAAACATGAGGTGTAAGTCAGCATGTCTCTCCAGAGATCCTGTGCTTATTTTTGCACCTGAGACCTCCTGAAACAAAAACTAAAAGCTGGGCTGTTTGATTTTTTTTTTTCAGCCTCACTTAGCCGTAAGAGTACCTTTAACATTTCATTTTATCTGCGCGATTAGCTTTGCACTTTATATCACATACAGATTACTTAGTCCTTATGTTAAGCTTCGGAGTTAGATGCCTCCTTGTATCTATTACAATTAGGACAACTACATTAAAGGTTGAAGACTTCCTGAACAGTCCTAAGCAGCTGACTAAATGGAGACACAACGAGTGGGTATGGGATAGTCTCACTTATAAAATTTCAGTCTTAAGTCACACTCACAATAAATACCACCAAATAAAATTAGCTGCTTAGTTCAGAAATATGCATTTTGAGCCAGGTGGTGGCGGCAGCTCACACCTTTAATCCCAGCACCTGGGAGGCAGAGGCAAGCAGATCTCAGTGAGCTCAAGGCCAGCCTGGGCTACAAGAGCTAGTTCCAGGACAGGCTTCAAAACAACAGAGAGAAACCTTGTCCTGAAAAACCAAAATAAAAAAATATGCACTTTGTTTTGCAGTAAAATGTTAGCTAAAATTAAAACTTTAAAGAAACCTAACAATCCAAAAGAATTCACTGCTGTAGTTATTCTAAAGATTTTAAAATCAATGACATCAATGGACAGCATTAATAACTGGTTATATTTATATTTGAAATTCAGAACTGTTTTGGATTGTTGAAATTCTTTTGAGAACAGTTTTGTAACTTGAGACATATATGTCTATTACGTTCTTGAGTGGTTTAACTACAACTATTTTAGGTCTATATGAAACTAACTGTGCGGTATTACATAAGTTTCCATAAGATATCGCAGTCTGAATGCTTTCCATAGTGTGTCAAGATGCTCTCAGTACCATCATGGACACCTGCTTCTGTTTCTGGGCTTCGTGGGCACTTCCTGCACTTCCCCCGATTGTTACCTGAACCCATCATTTAAATACTTGACATTATTTTCAAGTTCTGTGTTTGAACGGCTAATCTATGTGGGTGACTTTGTTTTATGGCACAAATACATAATTATAAAGATAACAATCATGAAGAAATCTAGTACTATTTAGAGGGACGGTTTCCTTGTTTTGGGGGAAGCTTCAGCTTGGAGTATTTTGATGCCTCGCCTTTTTAGTTTGGCTTCTCAGGGTTCACCTGGAAGTTCTCCTCAAATGGTTCCCATTCTAGTGCAGCTGCTCATACCAACCCTGTGATGCCACACCAACTAAAACAGAAACAAAGGTTTTTTTTAGAAGAGGCAGACTGTTCTTGACTGAAGAGAATGACGGGTAAGGTTAGGGCTAGGTGGCATCAGAATCGGAAGATAAGAGAAAGCAGATTACAGTGGTATTTAGTAATGCTAGCATAGGAGAAAAGGAAAAAGCCATTCCGTGTTTATTTAGCTGGTTTTGTGTGGGCATTGTTATATTTAATTCCTTAAAGAAGCTGTGACATAATAAAAACATTTTTAAAAATAGTGTGACAAAATGGAGTTTTAAAAAGGAGAAAAGAGAATTAGAAAAACGTTTCTTAAAAAAAAAATTTTGTGACAAAATTTTAACTTACCAAGCAGACCTGTCCCCAGTAGAGGGTTAAGTAGCTGTGGCATCACAGAGTTACTGTTGAGTTTAGCTGGACCAGGTGGATTCCCAGCACTATTAGATATATTCAGCAATGTTTCTGCCATTGACACCACTGCTGTCCCACCAAGTGTTGAGACAGTCAGTGCTGCCACTGCTGATGATGTAGTGGTTGTGGTAGTGGTTGCCTGGGAGGAGGTTGCTATGGAAACCTCTGGATGGTTAGCGGTGTTGGCGGATGCTGAGTTCAGGACACCTCCCAACAGCTGGGGATTCAAGGCCATTAATCCCGAGGCCCCAGTGACAGCTGGGAGGAGCAGGGGGTTAAAAGTAGTGTCACTGCCTGTAAAGCTCGGTAAAGGGTTTCCCAGGGGGCTGGTTAAAAGGGTCTCAGCTCGGCTGTTGTCTGACTGATTGCTTGGCAAACGGTCTGTTGGGGCTGTCATCTGTGTTAGTAAGGGTAAAGGGGTATTTTGCTGTTGCAAAAGATCTGAGATGGTCAGATTGAGAGATGGCAGGGGGAGCATGGCAGCTGCTTGTGCTTGGTTCTGCAGCAGGGCTGCTAAAAGCTGAACATGAACAGGCTGCAATACCTGCCCATCCATGTCACCGGAGAGAAAAGCTAAAGGGTGGAGGTTGATCTCAGACTTGCCTTCTCCTGCTGAAGGCTGGAGGATATTTAATAGATTCTGGTTTAGGAGATGCTGTTGATGCACTGGCAAAGAGACAGGTAGAGAACTGAGGAGGCTGGGGTTCAGGGGGTGTGGAAGATGGTTGTTTGAAGTGCTGTTGGATGGAAAATGAAGGGCATGCTCCTGGCCAACAAAAGGAAAATCGCTCCCAATGGGCAGCTGACTCTGCAGTGGGTTTCCAGCTGCGGTGGTGACAATGACTCCATCTTGGAGAACAGATGTTGTCTTTGTGATGGCAGGGTGGTTGCTGCCAGCTATAGCTATGGAAGATGGTAGGCTTGGACCACCTAGAAGGAGAAGAAGAAACACAGCTGTTAGCTATGGACAGTAACATGACCCATAAAGCTTCCTAAGGTGCATTTCAGTTGCTCTACTTATTTCATTGTGGTAGATTCAATGTACCATAGATGACTTGACATCTACTAATGGAATTTAACTGACTTTGAAAATAAGTATACCGAAAAGCAAATAGGTTTTAGTTCATTACTCCACAAAGTGACGCTGGGCAAGGATGCTACAGTTCATCCATTTGGTTTGCTACCAAAGCCTCCTTTTTCTTCAAAATCATACCTTTTCAATTAAAAAAGGTGTTTGGCCTTATTTCTAAGAGTAGTACTTTCCTTTAATGAACAAAATAAAATCCTTTAAAACTAGGATGTACATGAAACAAAGCAGATAATAAAATAACCTATGGTAATACAAAATACACACATCTTAGCGCATAGCTGTCTGATTTTCCATATCAGTATGTATATATACATTCAGATACATGTACACATACATACACACACACACAACCACGTAACTTTACAACAAAACAACTGTGCTATAGTTTTTAACTTTTCATTTATCAATTTAGGGAATACCTTTCTCTTGTTAGTTGATACATACTGAATCATTTACTAGTTTCATGCATCGATATATGATAATTTACTATCTATAATCACGAATATTTTTGCTTTAAATTATTTTTCAAAAACATTGAGGACAATTACTGGTGACACTTCAATAAATATTATCAATGTATCTTTTCAATTGTCTATTTTTTTTTAAAAGAGATGGCTTCACTGTGTAGCCCTGCCTGACCTGGAACTCTTTATGTAGACCAGGTTGTCCTCAAACTCATAGTGTCTGCCTCCCAAGTGCTGGGATTAAAGTTGTAAGTCACAACACTGGGCTGCATAATTAAAGGATACATTCTTGAACATATAATTTTCAAACTCTCAAAAGCATATATATATATATATGATCAAACTTCCCTCAAAGATATATATCAATATATATTCAATTTATATTCCTTTAAATGGTATATAATATAATATTTCTCACAAACACACTATCATTATTTTTAACAGCAAAAATAATGATTAATAATCTGTTATTCTGAAAGTGTATATGAATATTTCTATAACTGTACAATAGTAAACATGTTATTTTTGTTTTAATCAAATGGAATAACATAATAATTTTTATATACCTTTAGTCATGTTTAAAAACTATGTAGTATATCATGCTGAAGAAATGTAGCATTTATATGTTGATTTCTATCATCACATATTAACACAGTGGTGAGCATTTTCTCATATACTTTGATTTGTGTTTGTGTGTGTGTGTGCGCCCACATGCGTGTGTTTGTGTGTGTGATTAAACCTAAACCCTCAAATCCCAGAACTATACCACCGAGTTTTCTTATTTTGAGATTGGGTGTTCTCAAGCTGCGCAGAAGGCCTCACAATTGTGGTCCTCCTGCCTCAGCTTGTGGATACTAGGATTCCAGGCACATACCACCACACCCAGCTACCACTGAATGTTTCCCGAGGAAGTTTATTTCAAAGTGTTCATAGAAAAAATTTCCATCATTGTCCATCATGATTGCTATGAGATCAGAAAGAGGTAAAAAGAGCTGGTCAGGTGACAAGTCTAAGGAGTAAAAGGGGTTTTGTTGCCATTATCCCTGACATCAGCTTACTAACAGTGGAAACTCAAGCTGCTACTACCAATACCACCTTGCTGCTGCAACAGTGGCTTCTGCCTTCCCATCTGTCATAGTCTGATCTGTTTTTCAAAAATTTCAGTGTTTTATTTAAAGGCTGAGATTAAAAAAAAAGCTTCTTGAACATATATAAATATTTATGAAATATTATCATGAAATAACGAAATGTTCACAAAGATTAGGGTAAGAAGACATACGGAATGCTGAAGTAGGCACACGGTATACAACTATTTAAATATTAATTCAGATTTTTTTCACAAAACAATCAACACCTTAAATATTTCATTGCTTCTTAAAATTGTCATTTCCATACATACAATGCATCATTTGCATCTGGAAGGCATCTTTTAAATGAGCCAGGGAGTCTTATTTACAAGGAATCACGATCACTGTCAATTTTTCTACCTGCTAAATAATAATGACATACTTAAACGTGGAAATTGCTGCTCTTCTGACCACATGCAGATTATATTTTCAAAATATTAACATATATGCAGCAAGGCTTTTGTAGATGATGGTTTTCCTTAGAGATTACTTTTCATTACTTTAATTTGCCACTGAGAAACATCCATATTTATGATTCAAAGTAGTAGTCATTTGGGGATAACACTATTTTAAAAGCTCTCCATCTAAATATTCTTGAGAAATTATAATTAAAAGCACAGTCACTGTTTTTTTTTTAACCCTGCCAAGAAGAAAGGATGAGTCTATAAGCTTTATAAAGGCAAGATGTGGACACACACACACACACCACACACACACACACACAACTATTTTCTCCACTTTCTAACAAGTCAGTTCAACAAACAGATGCATTCTGTCAGAGAATAGGATGGAAATAGTGACAGAAGTTTAAAAATCTTGTCCAGAAGAAAGTCAGAGTTTAGGCAAAGTGGCAAATGCATAAATTTCCTAATCTTCCCCCCCTCCTCGAATATACAATCACAAGGTGGGAATTTTTGAACGTCATGTTACATATTAGTTAGGACGATGAGACTGCAGAGCTAGGCCTGTAACAGCTATAGAGACACATACAACCAGGGACAATTATAAAACTGATGGTGTCTGAGAAAATGGCCAAATGAGAAAACTACATATTTTCTTATGCATTTGAGAGATGAAAAGAGATAAAAAGTGCTTCTAAGTAGAGGCAAAATAATTTTTTTTAAAACACAGAAAGTAAGGCGGATGAAGATAATGAGTCTTGTGTTTCACAAGCACAAAAATATCTGAAATGTGTTTGGCTTTTCTATACTCTGACTCTCTCAGCCCATGGTTAAACCTGCCAGTTTACACGAGCAGTAAATATATTTGAATACATATTTTTAAACCATTAAAGACAAGTATCATTTCTTATTTCTCTCTGTATTTCAAAGACAAAATAGTCATGACACATGGTTAGATTAAAAAAGTGTTTGTTGGCTGAGACCCTAATATTTGCACTCATGTCTATAAGGGAGTTAACAATGTAGACATGGGGGAGGTGAAGATTGGTTTTCTAATTTATTGGACCAGTGCCAGGACACAGGGACCACTGCAGAGGAGGTGGCTTGAAAATGACAAATGACATTAGAGCTCCCAAGCAGCTCAAGAAGTTAAAAGTCCCCTCACAGCAGGGGACATCTACCTCAGAGGACAGATCTACAGTCAGTCATTCTTGAATATGCATGGAGTTTTATATCAGAGGGCAGTGTGGAGAACACTTATTTCTGAATTACTAACTGTAATATTCTGTGAACCTATTTCAGACTTCTGCTGAAATAGGAAAAACTGTATATTCAGTTAAAGTATGTAAGGAAAGTATCTGTTAAAGCAGGTTTTTGGTCTTAGTGGTGGAAATTTTATCAAACATTATCAATAATCAAAGGCATGAGGGAATTTGGAAGAAGTTAGCAAATTCTAGTCATTTAATTAATAAGGAAAAATAAGATTACTTTGTGGCAATCGCTATGAAGTGACAATTTTTTTTTTTTTTGTTATTTTCAAAGTAACACTCAGGTGTTGCCAGATGTCCAGCCTAGACCTGCAGCAGTGGGCAGTCCAGCGTGGTGAAGAAATGAGTATGCAGCCTTGCTCAGTGAGCACTGCACAGAAACCTTCTGCACACACAACTCATGTACCTAAGTACAGGGTGTGTAAATACAAATAGCATAAAGAATTATTTATTATTAATTTAGCTCTTGAGATGCTTAATTTGCTTTAGTTTTAGAATTACTTCTGCCTCCAGATTTATCTCACCGGTCAACAACATTCCTGGGCAGAAGTTCACATTGTGATCAACTCTTGTATGACTTAATATTACTATTTACGCTTTACTATTACGCATGTGTCAAAAAAATGTTTAAAAAATGTCAGTAACTTGGTTCATTTAACTCCAATTTTGAATAAGTATTATTTTGTGCTAAGAACTTTCTACACCGAAATGGCCAAATACTGACTTTTTATCCATGCAACTCAAGAGCTTAAGGAAAAATATTTTATGAAAAATATTCTTTCACTGTTTGACCTTTATCATTTACTTTGCTAACAGTACTTTCATTGCATAGAGTCAGAAGTAATCCTTAATAAAAATAAATCCTTCCAGAGATAAAATATCATGGCCTAGTGAGTTTAATAAATATAATTTACTTCTCAGTTCCATTGAAATATGAAAAAGTGTCTTTTAGATTTAAAGGACTGATTTTTTAATGATAATAACATAATAAGCTGAAAGATAACTTTTATGAGAAGTATAGGTACGCCAGTAAAGCTTTATAAACATGTTCAAGTCTTAGCAGCAGCCACAGTAATGTGCATTTACAGAAACACATCAACTTCATCTTTCTGCTTTGGGTTCTGGTACATATTCTTGACATTCCTGTCTAAGGAATAGGAAGACAGAGAAAGGGATCTGGGGCTATGTTTTTTTTTTTTTTTTTTGTTGTTGTTAATTTTTTTTTTTTCCTCAAGGGAGAAATGGACCCCAAACAAAAGCACACTTAAGGTGAAGGGGAAGAAAGCAATTGCAGAATCCCAGGGAATGCTCTTGGCCTTGGAGGGTCAAGATGCTGGAGAAAGGAAAAGGAGAGCAGAAAGAGACGTGACTTACATCTCAGGATGTAAAGATCAGTTTCTGGATGATGATGAAATGAAACAGGGAAAGAAAACAGACTGTGATTACGTTATGTCTCTCCATCCAGTCTTCCTCTATGGTGTTGGGAACGGAGCTCGGGCCTCAGACATGCTATGCCAGCACTTCTGCTCCTGAGCGATATACAGGCCCAGCCTGTTTCCTTTCATAACACCCGGAACCTA